TATTATTATTATTATTATTCTTGTTGTTGTGGTTTAATATTTCAAACATAGATAAATGCGGTCATCTCCTCCTGTAATTAGCAAAAATGTTTGGAATTACTTGAATATAAAAAAGTGAACAGAGAATGCATTACATTCATACTGCATGCTACGCAAATTACATGGACACATTAGTTCAAGTAATCGCTATAAGCCCTGCTATAAGCTATAAGCCTTGTTTGAGTGATAGATCACAGTGCTAAGGTGATTTTGAAGTTGCTGTCCAGGCTAAGAATGAGCATTATTTAGACATCAGCTACGTGTAGATAATGCATTTCTCAATTAACTTGCAAATCTGTTTAATTAGAATAAAAACCCAAAGCCAAAAAAGGTAAGATCTATAACAAGATACAAGCCCTACAATCAAATATAGACAGCCTACAGCAAGCTGAGAGCACATTTTATCTCAACTGCAGAGTCAACAGCAATATTTAGCTCCTATATAGGAAGAACTGCATGACCTATGGGCTCACACTGAGAGCTAAACTCTCGCTCCAGGAGAGCAATGACTCCTGTGACACTGTTAACAAGAGAACAGCAAACCTTCCATCATAAATGCCCACCATCTCCCTTATACCAACAGTTTGTGTCTACCGAGCAATATGCCGTGTGTTTATTTTTACAACAAACCTTCGCAGACTTCAATCTGCCAAGTGTTCAGTGCACAAACACAATGTGCTCTTATATGAGTGATTCTATTATGCCTTTGTAACTACATATAGCCTTTGTAAGATGTTGTGCAACCATATGACCAAGATAAACATCACCAGGAATCCTGACACAGTTTTTTTTAAATAAAAGAAACAGGCATTACTCTTAGACATGTGATGAAGGTTAGTTACACTGTGCTGTAAATTAACAAAATTCATCTAAAATAAATATAATAAATCAATTTACAAGAAAAAAAACTAGCCAGGCAAGTAAGATAAAGTAAATTTTAAAGTACATGAATAAATCAAATACAAAGAGCGGGCCAAGGAGAACAATACCGTTTTACGTGCCCCAGAAAAGATTTTGAAAGGGTTCAAGCATCATTTCTGTATGGCCAGCAGCTGAGCTCTATGCATTGAGAAAAGCCTGAATAACTCAAACAACACAGATTCCATTCATGTGCTCTGTATGAAATCTGCCAAAGAGGAAAATAAACTGTTGAGACAGGCGGTCAGCTTGTCACTGCCTCCAATTTTCCTCTACTATTGTCCTAATGAATCCAGCAGTAATGCATCAAGACGCCCCCTGGTATTCTACCAGTATTCACAAAAACTGCCCAGCATTTGCTGCCAGTCTAGCAGGACTATTCACATTCATGTTAGTGAATCTATGTGGAGTGGGAAGTTAACATCCTTTCAACAGTACCACAATTTCATTTTTCAAGTAACATTCAACTTTCCTACAGAAAATTCACAAAACGAAGCATTTATAAATCAAGTGCAAGGGTTTCATTTAGTCATTAAAAAAAAAAGTTATGATCCTAATTTGCCTTTGAGAATGTAACACTAAAGCTCTGTTCCAAAACCTGAGCTGCCTCATTCAGGGCTCTACGCTTACTTTTCTTTTTAGGAGTACTTGTGCTCCTAATTAAAAAAATTCAGAAGCACCTTCTGATCAATAACATAAATTAGCTTTTCCATTACGAGGTGATAATTGACTCCTTAAAGCTGCAGTCCGTAACTTTTTTTGGTTAAAAATGATCCAAAATCAATATCTGAGCAAGTACATAACCAGCCAGTGTTCGAAACTATCACCTTACTAGGGATGTAATGGTATGAAAATTTCTTATCACGATTATAGTGACCAAAATTATCACGGTTATCAGTATTATCACGGTATTGTTAAAATGTGCTGGAGATGCTAAAAAAGTACCGACACATAAATCACTTAACCAAGTTTTATATTTAAAAATCAAAAAACAACAAATAAAATTACTTTTTGTTTGCATAATCACTAAAACAATAACATTACCAATGATGTCCGGATTTTAAATGACAACATGACTGACAACAGTTTATCTAATAGCATGTTCAAAT